TTTACTAGGTCTTAAAAATTATCAAACTTTAAAGGTACTGATATTGATGATATTCTATTCTTGACCACTGTCTACAAACTAATGTATAGACGACGTCGCTTTTGTTTAGGTTTTATGCCTTTTTCAGGATGAGTTAAATCTTCTGAAACTTTTTTGTCATGATATTTATATACTATAAATCCTTATTCAAGATGATCAGTAATTCAATATCCAAATGACTTCCTTGTTTCAAGTATTACAGCAGTTTTCGTAGTTATAACACTAATCAATGGCATTAATTAGAATAATATGATTAAACCTTTCTATATCGGCTTAGTGGTCAAAAGGGGTTATTGGTTCAGGTAATATCGCGATTTCTCCAATTGTCTCAAAACTAATGAAGTGATGGTTTTTTGTCTTACAATATACTGAACGTGTATTAATCAAAATCAAAATAAAACATTGTTGATCGGAATATGCCATAGTAACTTTCTATCGTTCTTAAATAAGAAGAATGAACTAATACAAGTATATGAATATGGACCTTCGTGAACAGATTCGTTCGCCAAAAAAGTAGTTGTTTTGTTTTACTACTGATTATTTAATCAGTAGGTAAAATGTGACCAAGAAAGATTTCAACTGCTTGATTAATCCATTATTTATCACATAGATTATCTGATTTCAATATTTTTATAGTATTGTGACCAGTTGTCTTCATTATCTAACTTAAATCATTCGTGTGAAGTGCTTAGAAACACCCTTCTGCATTACGATTAAAGGGAGTCGACTAAAATGTTATAAATCAATATTAAATTTTTTTGTTATTTACACTAAATGTGTTTAGATAGGAATTTGGGTATTTCATTGCTTCCAGTTTGATTTTTCACATACTATATTCTGGCAAAGCGTTACTTATTCAAAACACACACAACGCTTTAGATGATTACTTTTGAATTTAATATCACTCAGTAGGTTTTATGGGGCGAGATGAATTTTACAAGGCTACGTGTGATTGGGAATGTAATAAGACCGATAAAATTCCGTTTCTTTATAATGCAATAAACGTATATGTGGCTCAATAAAAGAATTACGGAGTAAGACAATACATAATGAACCATTTAACCGCTTAAATCCTCACAATCTCCATTACGGATTAATTATAGTTATAAAACTATTGAAAACTAGAAAACACCAAAATCTTGTTTTGTACCTAGCACAATAGTCCTTAGTAGTGGCTTTTAATGACCCTACTGTAAATTGAACCTATGATATTCGATCACTTTTTTTGCTCTTAACCTCTTGATCATTTGCCAGAGTGCAATAGTGTTCATGTCTAATTTCAATCAATCATTTTCTTTAGTATTTTCACTAGACATAAAAGCTGTCATGGAAAATTTAATCTTCTCTATTCTGAATTGGATGTTTTCACGATGGTTAAAGTAAAAATTTATTTCACTAGTTTGATCCATCAACTGTAACTGCATCCTATCTCGTAATAAATAAAATTGTGATCATCTATAATATCTACAAAATACATTTATTAGTTTTTAATAGGAATGGAACACCTAATTTTATGCTTCACGATTTTGCGTGTCATCCTTGAGCAAGAGGCATGCTAATCTTCAATGATGTTGCATTTTGTAACGTAACTAGATAAACATAAATAAGTATAAAATTTAATTATTTATAAACAAGCAAAATTCTGATTCAGTTTGTATTTTCATTTAGTTTTCTATTTATTTATCAAGTGTTTTATTTTCGTTTATGTTGAGTCGGCTTCCGGAGAACTTCAACTGAGCCTCCAGAGGCCCAAAAGGAGCCGAAGGATCCTAGCCAATCAGAGTACGATGGAACGTTCGAGAATTCCAGCGTGGCGTGCTATTATTGGTCGGTAGCATAATATGACTTTAACGAATTGGCTGAAAATATGATGTTGATTTAACAGACGCTAACATCTATAAATACCTATGATTTTCTGTACAAAAATGAACCTTGGGATAAAGTGTTTTCTCTCATACTTGTGTCTTCTCTCTGGACTTCAAGTCGCTGTGTAGTTCTAGACTGCGGGTTACCGAAATAGCTTAGGAATCGTATATAGCGTTTCATCGACAAGACGTATCAGTGGCGACGGGGATGGGATTGCACACATGCGATCTCCACCGTATCACACCCAATCAAATGGCCAGGCAGAGCGCTTCGTGGATACATTGAAAAGAGCACTACTGAAAGGGGGAGACGAAAGGACGACAGGGCTGGTGACCAATCGTCCTTACGTGTTTTCCGTGTCACTAATTCTGATCGATAAAACGCTGCTTATCATAACCTGCAGTCCACCCGTTACAACAATTGGCAACGGGTTAGAGAAAATTTTGAACCCTGTAATTGGACGAGTTTCGACCTAATTATTTTGGCCAATCAGCATTCAGATTGATCGTCGGTGTTCTTGGAAGTCATTGGTTGTTAATTGATCACAGTATTTCTCATTACCCTGCTGATTCAGAATATGACTATCCTTCCCGATCAATTGCAGCTACTACTTGATCGCCAACAACAGCGTTTCAGAGAGAGCCAGTTGAATGTTTTGAACAATTTACGCACGCGACTGCTAAATCTCCCATGTTTTGGAGATGTGAAAGAAATTGATGAATTAATTTCTCACTTGCATACTGAACTCGAAAATGACTGCAGGACGTATGAATATGAAAACAAAAGCCTCTATGAATCCCTGATGATCAGTAATACAAAAGAGACAGTCACTCATGATTCGTCCAGCGATCCAGAAATGTCCAATTCAGAAGCATGCTCTGTCGTGGGTTCAAATCCCAATGTGCCCGAAAGATGTACAGACAGTGAGGCATCCAGCTCACAAGAAGAACCACTCGTGCCAGAAAATGTGTCCCATGCATCAAATAATGGTCAGAGATCTAATACAAATTCCAAAGATGCTGTTTATTTTAGTGATCTATTATCCACTAATGGAATTTTGAAGAGGTCTGATGAATATGTTTCACAAAAATCAAAACTTAATGACCTCATATCTAGTGTCGCTGATCCTCATCGTCTAGTCAGTTCTAGTGGACCCTCTACTCAATGCGGGAAATATGCTTTAAATAGAATCAGACTAACTGTTACTTGCGTATGTGAGGACCCAACATTATTTCGTGGGGGAGGACGGACGCAGAAAAATTTAAAATCCGGATATCAACTCCGGATCTTCAAAAAAAGGGGAGGTGTTATGGATGCTGAGGAATAATGTGCCAATCATTATCATGTGAAGTCTAATGATGTCCTTGGACGTTAAATGAACATTTCCTATTGGCCGTTATTTATTTCACTCGTTAATATTGTGTAAATGTTGTTTTCTATTTTATGGTACGATGTGGTTTGTTTGTTTGGTATATAAATAGAGTATGGCTGAAACATAATGATTCATAACTCAGAGGCTGTGACTTGTGTTCTAGACTCAACTGGCTGGGCTAGACAGGGAAAGGGGACCAATCGGGACTCTAGGTCGTCCTTACGTATTTTCCGTGTCACTAATTCTGATCGATAAAACGCTGCTTATCATAACCTGCAGTCCACCCGTTACAACAGTTTACATAATAGAATAAGTCATAGAAACAATGTTTGTATTTACTGGATGCATGTTTATCAATTTTCGGATTGAATTACACATGAATTATATTCTCATGCAAAATTTGATAAACTAAAGCGTCAATTACATTTTCATTAGACGGTAGTAGCTAATAAAAATACACTTATGGATTTGTTTATTTAAATATACTTGAATTTCACAGACCTATGATGCATTAAAACTTGGGACAAAAATACAAATGAATAGTATAAACTTTTAGCAATCATAAAGATAAAGATGTAACTTATGTGCTTTTTCTTAGTTACTTATTTATGTCTGTGACACCACGTGGAGGAGTATAGGTCTACCACCAAAATTCTCCATTCAACTCTGTCCTGGATAATCCATTGCAGTTACTCTCAGTCGTTATTCATTCTTTTCATGTATTCTTCATAGTCGTCAACTTTTCTGTTTCCATTCATGCTTCCAAGTTAGTGCTTGCTTCGTGATTTAGTTTGATGATTTCCGTAATGTATGTCCAATTTATTTCCAACGTCTTTCCCTATTCTACTCTTCAGCTAGAAGCTGGTTTGTTCTCTCCCATTGTAGACCGTTGATGATGGTATCCAACCAACGAACATTCAGTACCTTGTGTAGACAACCGTTTATAAATCATTGTGCTTTTTTGATGATGGTTGTGTTAGTTCTCCAAGTTTCAGCTCCATGCAGAAGAATTGTCTTGACGTTCGTATTGAAAATTCTCACTTTGATGTAAGTTGACAGTAGTAACGAGTTCCATATGCTACCCTTACTTTGTCAATCAGTGACTTTACGTCTGCATCGGGTCCTCCTTGTTCATCGATGATACTGTCAAGGTACATGAAAGATTCCACATCTTCCAATGCTTTTCCAACAAATACGGTTGGTTTGGTGTTTGTTATGTTGTATTTGAGGATCTTGATTTTTCTGTTGTGTGTGTTGAAGCCTACTGATGAAGAGACTGCTGTTAGGCTGACTGTTTTCATCTGTATTTTTTTATATGTACGGGATATAAGTGATCGGTTATTTGCCAAGTCCAAATCTTCTAATTGATTCCAAGCTGTCCATTTTGTTCTTTGCCTCTGCATTTACTTAGGAAAACTACCTTCAAATTCATGATCCAGTATTCTAGAAAAAGAATCGAACATAACAGTTTATAGCGTACTTTTATTACATGTAAAGTTTTATGTTAAATTTATGATCAATTCACGAACAGTCAGATATAATGAAATATTAAAGATGCATAATTTTAATTTCATATCGCATTTGTAAAGAATACAGGAAATTCAGACAAATGTTCTTTGGACCTCTGAAATCTAAAATAAGTAAAACGATAAATGTAATTGTTTGGTTTTCCCTAAAAATACATTAGATACTTTATATTAATTAACTAATCGTATAGAAATGTATGTTTAATAAATCCTCCTCCTCCTCCTCCTCACCATCATCATCATCATCATCATCATCATCATCATCATCATCATCATCATCATCATCATCATCATCATCATCATCATCATCATCATCATCATCATCATCATCATCATCATCATCATCATCATCATCATCATCATCATCATCATCATCATCATCATCATCATCATCATCATCATCATCATCATCATCATCATCATCATCATCATCATCATCATCATCATCATCATCATCATCATCATCATCATCATCATCATCATCATCATCATCATCATCATCATCATCATCATCATCATCATCATCATCATCATCATCATCATCATCATCATCATCATCATCATCATCATCATCATCATCATCATCATCATCATCATCATCATCATCATCATCATCATCATCATCATCATCATCATCATCATCATCATCATCATCATCATCATCATCATCATCATCATCATCATCATCATCATCATCATCATCATCATCATCATCATCATCATCATCATCATCATCATCATCATCATCATCATCATCATCATCATCATCATCATCATCATCATCATCATCATCATCATCATCATCATCATCATCATCATCATCATCATCATCATCATCATCATCATCATCATCATCATCATCATCATCATCATCATCATCATCATCATCATCATCATCATCATCATCATCATCATCATCATCATCATCATCATCATCATCATCATCATCATCATCATCATCATCATCATCATCATCATCATCATCATCATCATCATCATCATCATCATCATCATCATCATCATCATCATCATCATCATCATCATCATCATCATCATTCTTTCATAATGATTAAAAAACATGAAATGAACATTCATATTTAACTCCAATATGATCCATTCTTATAAATAGATTCTTTCATAAAAGATTATAAACTATACTAATGCATTTAAAACATTAAATATACTTAAAAAATTGGAGAAAATACAAAACAACAACACTAAAAGCACATTATTCATCCTATTTAATTATAATACAAACCTAAACAGTAGTATGTATCATAATGCCACTAGAATTAATCAACGTGTTATTATTTAAGAGAATTTTAATTAACTTTTAGAAAGATCTAATCTCAAGTCATTAGTTTCTATATGATCTATATATTGTTATCTCTTGTACCACATACATGTATTTCTTCAGTGAGTAGTTCAGTAAAATGACAAAAACATTATATCTATTCTTTGAATAATCTATGCATGAATAAGTTAGATGGATATATATATATATATATATATATATATATATATATATATATATATATATATATATATATATATATATATATATATATATAGAATGATAAATGTTTAGACATCATTAAGGAAGTAGATTTTGTCAAACAATAATCATAATAATACTGATAATTTATATAATAGTAGTCATACAATTCATTATGTAGCATAATTATTATTTATTCAAATAGAACTGTAATTTCATTTCTCTCTAATTATCTAATCTCTAATGAATGATACAAAATTAATTAGATCTTTGTTATTGAATATTAACTTTGACAGAAATACAGTTTTGTTCTTTCATTTTTGTTTGTTTGTTTGTTTTTCTTTTTGATGTTCATTTTCTCTTTTTTTTATTTACTTTTTTTTGTTTTCTATTCTATATTAAAATGTTGTTAAACGTAGAAAGAAAAATTAGATAAATGATCGAAAAAAAAGAAGAAAAAAGGAAGGAGAAAGGCGAAACAATACACTCACACATAGATTATCAAAGTCTATTTATATATACACGTTTTTTTAAAAAAAAATAAAGATAAGAATGAAATCAATGCAAGATTTTGTAAATAATAAAGATATTTAACAGCAAGGATATGAATTATGTGGGGATACAGGAAAATGAAATGAGAGACTGGAATATATTACCACCATTTTGGGGATGTATTTAAAGGAGGAAATATAAATTTAGGAAGAAAAATAAAAGAATTAGTATTGTGGTTTATGTGTGTGTGTTTGTGCTATTTATATCGACATAAGTAGTATATAATACGAGTGAGGAATATAATGTCTGGCTGCAGATGATTGAGAAGAGAAGAACTGGAATAGAAATGTAGGAACAATGAAGTATGAGACAATTAATGAACATTTTACAAATGAAATATTAGAGTATGATTTTTCAATTTAACCAAGTAACTCTATGGCTTCATGCTATAATATAATTTGGCTGTCCTCACCTATGTTCACCATCACTACAGTGTATGTTATAAGTTCCATTTAAGTGGTAATTCATTTAGATTTGTCATAGTAACACTCAGTAGTATTAGTACTAGTATGGATTAGTGTACTTTATTAAATTCTCAAATTATTAGTTGAAGGGTACTTTATAAATGTAACTCTTTTCTGTTTGTAATATCCTATTCATTATTGATAAATATACATCCTGAAAGTTATAAAACATTTGAGCTTTTTTTAATGATTATCAAATTACTCATTGAAAAACTGAGCTGAGTACAAGTGATGTTTCAGAATGGAAAACTTGAGGAAGAAATAATGACTTTTTATTTACAAGAAAGACACATTGATAATGATAAAATATAGATTGTTACTATTAATGGCTTTATTCAATACTATATTTCTTTTTACAACATAGAATTCTCAGCACAAAATATTCCAACAAGCTTCCATTTCTTATTTCTTAGTCGATCGTGACGATAAATATTGAGTGATCGCTAGTTAGATGTTAGCAGTCCAGTCAATCGACATCTAAATAATATACATTCTTTTCGATGCGTATTGCCAGCAACGACGATATCTTTGATTCGGCGTATAGTAACTTGTACAACGAAAGATCGTACATTTTCCAGAAACGCATAGAATTACATAACTTGTTAAAACACCTAGATGGCAGGAACAGGTAGCCCAGATGTTCAAAAAGGCCGCTATGCTAGATATCTTAGCTATTCAACGACATAATTTAACTATTGTATTTACGACATTTTATAATCAAATGTAATTTTCTCTGCTATCGTTATTTACAAATCTTTGTGTTACTATTATCATTACTAACCGTTAAACATCAATATTCATCTCCCTAATACATGATTCATTCACTTCGCATTCATTCCTCCTTAATACGTCTTACTAATTTTTATCAGTTTTTGTGGATATTATAGTAATTTCAATAGTATAGATCATGAGCCAATGGAAGCTAGACTGTCATGGAAAACCTGGAAGTACTAGACAACCGTTTCGTCCTATTGTGGAATTCCTCAGCAGTGCACATCCACAATCTCACCTCACGAGATTCGAACACAGGGCCTATAGGTTTCTGCCGTTCAGTGCTTCCACGTTTTCCACGATGGTCTAGCTTCAATTAACGCATGATCTCATCTATTGAAATTATTAATTTTTCACACAATATCGTATTCCACCAAATTGTAATTGCACTATTATTTCTCTCACCCTATCTGACCTATATTTATTCGAATTATGGATGCTAAATCTTCACTTAACATATAAGCTGACTCAAATTAACATTCTATATGAGTCATATCAACACTAACAATTTGATCCTATTTCGTTTGACAATCTTAAATTCACTCGCTTTATTTTTAAACGATGTAGTTTACCCTTAATCTGATCATTTTTCAGATTATTAATTTGAATATCGGTATTGTAGAACCTGGAGAGAATTTCTCAAAAAGAATATTCTTCATTCAAATATTAGTCTTTTAATATTATAGACTTCTAACAAGTAAGCGAAACAAATAATTCACTCATTGTATTTCAGCTGCATTTACAATTAGACATATTTTATTACAATGAAATGTAACTCTATTTTGTGTAGTTTACAAATTCAAAATATTCTTTTCCTTGTCATTAGCCTAGAAACGTTTACGTGTAGCTTAAATGTATACACTTGAATGTACTTCGATTTTTTTTTAGCCAACAGTTCAGTCTACTGAAATTCTGTGGCTCAATAGTATTATATCACCAAACTATCAGCAACCCGATACGCAGAAGAATTTTCTTTCAAAAAAAATCTCTAAATTATGAAAACTTGTGTTTTTTCTTTCAAACGAATATCATGTTCAAGCGAATTGAGCTATTCTAGTTGAAAATCATGTGTTAGCCACAATGCTCCCAGACTGATTTATTGTGTTTATTACTGTTAGATCCCTTGACAAGTTTAAACAGAACAAGAACAAATAAGTTTATAGAACAAAAGTAATCCATTCTTATTGATGGGTTCATATCGATTGCAAACAGCCTGAGATTACAATGATTAGCATAATTCCAAACGACGGTTCCAGCATAATTTAATTAGTAACGTTTGCCTGAATATTTGAAATGGAACCAAATACCATAATCAGAACACAACAAAAGATTTATGAATAAATATGTTTAAGATTGAGATGTCTTAAACTATACGGAAGTAAAGGGCTTGTTGTCACAGTTACTATTAGTCACATTTAAGAAAAAGTGAATATATAATTTCTATTAAATTAATAAGTAATTGTGTAACCACCCAACAATAAATTAGAAACAAAATCAAATGAATATCATTATCAATAAGATCATGTGAAAGATATTAAAGTTTATAAGACTGAGAGGTTTTAAAGGGTAATTTGATTAGAATTACGATAATCAAACCAAAGGCTTTTCAGGCTTTACATCTATATGTAGAGAATAGTTCGGGAACGTTTAATAGTAATGTTACCCGCAAAATGAAGCAAGAGTGATGTTAGTAGTTGATTAATTATTATTTTTAAATGCATAATTGATACCCACTTTATATAGACTACACATTAAGTGTCAATCAGTTTGAAGTTTGAAGACTTTCTTAGTTTTCAAAGAAAGGTTCCTTGGAAAGTGGTTAGAAAATCTGACGAATGCGTTTCTTTCTGTCCTTCCAAAATAGTTACTACGGTAATTACAAATAAATTCGTGTACATTATTTTCTAAGTAATTTCTAAGAAACTCAAATAAGGTAGTTAATATTGCTTATAAGTAGTCGTAATAACTACTGTTTTCTCTTTGAATGTAAAAGTGTATGGCTACCATAAGAATGCAAATTTTCTTTTAACTTTAGTCTATAGCCAAAGTGAAAAGAAATAATGCAGACAGGTCAGTGACGAACATTTCAATTTTTTACATAATGGTCATAAATGCAGTATATTTTCACTGTAAAATTTTAGAGATCGAGAAGATGTTTAGATTGCTATCTTACCACGAGGACATCTGATAAACAAAGAGAGGGCGAGCAGCATGACTTGACAATATACAACCTGAAGCACTAAAGTCACAAACATGCTCCACACTATAGTGAGGAACATTTGGGAGGAAGAACAAGTGAAGATGGACTAGAAAGAAGGACAACTCATTAAGATGTCAAAGAAAGAAAACCAGAGCAAATGTGAGAACTACATGAGAATCACACCACTACTAGTACCATGAAAGGTTTTCAACAGAGTGTTGCTCAACAGAATGGAAGATGCAGTAGATCCTCAACTTCGAGATCAACAGGTCGGATTCCGTAAAGATCGGTCGTGCACACACCAAATCACCACATTACGGATCATCGTTGAGCAATCACTTGGATGGAACACTTCATTATACATGAACTTCCCTGATTAGGAGAAGGGGTTTGACAGTGTGAATAGAAGGACATTATGGAAACTTCTCCGACACCATTTTGTACCTGAGAATATCTTCAACATTACCCGGGATTTATATGACGGATTGCAGTGCAAAGTGTTGTACGGTGAATAGTTGACAGATGCATTCCCATAAGGACCGTAGTCAGTATAGCCCTAAATTGGAATCGTGAAGGGAAGTCAAAAAGAAG